TCTCTGATAATTCCAAACAAAAACTTGTATCCTTGTGAAAAGCCAACATGAATTTGTTAGACGGGAAAGAGACACTGAGATTAAGGGTAGAATGTATCAATTTCCCTCTTGTAATCTGGTGCGCTTTTGCAACAAAAAATCAGCTCCCTATTTAAGAAAGGGAGTTAATTCTAATGTAAAAGCGCACCCGATTTCGACGGCGAGATTATACATTCCACCACGGGTCTATTTGATTACGTATCCAGCGACTTGTACGCAGTATCGGCTGCAAAACACACTTGCATGAAGATCTTCAAAAAGCGAGGTGTAGAATTTATTAAAAGCAGTTCAAGAAAGATGAGTAATACGATTATATAATATAGAATCTAAATCTCTCAATGGACAAGGGCACTATTTATTTATGCGACCGGCAGCGGTAGTGCGAGTCTGTTCATTCGGAAGCTGTGGCGCTAATGTAGGTTACAAATATATTTGTTGAAGGAATCAGATAATAAGAAAATCAGAATTGCGATTCAATCCGAGCATTGCTCTCACAATATCTATGAACATGACAGAAGTATGGATATTACCTCACATATGTCTGTTGTTCAACCGCAGAAAAAATGCAAATTTCTTTTTTGATGGTCTCGACATGAGAGTACTTTTTTGTCTAAATCAATTCACTACTTTTAAAATCGAGAACAAAAGTCTTTAGAGAGATAATTGAGTGTTTTGGTAGCTACATACAAAGCCGAAGTACTTTAATGATGCTCATTTGTTATAAAGCATGTTGGTGAGGAAGTTGCAATAATTATAAACTTCTTTCCTTAGCAGTTCGAAAAATGCAAAAAAGCTGCTGAAATCGCGAGGCATTAAGGCAAAGGTTCACAGATGCTGACAAATTTGGATTTACATACATTTTGTTCTAGCTCCAAGTTGAAGGAACAGTAAGCGGATTAGCGCAAAAGTCTCGTTAGCACAAGTGAGATCGTAGCGAGAAAGGAAAGTAATGAGCAGTATTGCAAAAAAGAAGAGTAAAATACAGTTGTTTGAATGCTTAGCACTGACATAGCACAGTCACAATACTTCTGATTTCCATTGTAAATTAGAGTCAGGCCTCGGCACAAGGTCTCCGATTGATTTACGAGAACGAATACCCGCTTGAAAATACAGGAAATTAATAGTCCTCTTCGTGACCTGTACAAACGCGTGCAATCGGGACAAGCCTGCAGTGCCGCGTACTTGGAGTGTGTTCTTTTCTTTAAGGTAATACGATTTAGGGCCTTAGCAAGGAAGGAAGAAAGTGCTCTGATCTGATTGTTGCGCTATAAGTTGGGCCAAGGGGTGCACAAAAAGGGTTTGCTATAAGGAACGCGAAATTATGAGAAGCAAAAAAGTGTTTGATCAGAGACGTCTCCCGTAGGTCTCAGCTGGAGACCAAAATCACAAAAAGGTACTGCTTTTTTCATTCTCCGTTTTTGAAAATACTTCTTCTACCCTTTATTGTGCATCTTTACGTCAATTTTGGTGGCTATCCGTTGCCTATTCGCTTAGAAAAACGGGTTTATCTAAATTCTCTAAAACTCTTTTAAATTTCCCGCGCTGACACCCGCATTCAAACCATTGAGCCTTTGCTGGAGCAGGTTTTTAAACGGTCTAGAAGTGTGTGTGGAATTATCTGAATTAAGTATTGGATAAGAAAGAAGTACTCAAGCTGCTGCATGAACATCCGCGCTAGGAAGAATCTTGTTGTGGAAAAAGCGATTACGATTGAACCGCAGGTTCCTCTCTGGATCCCACACGATTTCCCCTTTGTT